TAATAATAATATAATCTATAAACTAGTTATAAGTAAAAGTAATTTTATAGTATTCATATATTTATATTTAAATTTGTATTTGATTTAGATAAGTTTTTACTGAGTTGTACATATTGAGAAAAATTTCAAATAATTTTGGGTACCACTGTATATCCAGAAACCATATATAATTAAAATATTATTACAACTATATTTATTAACTTTGCATCTTTTTCAAAATCTTTTCAAATAGTAATTTTGCTTAAAATGTTTTTTATTTTTTATAATGAACAATTTTTTGAATTTTTTTTACCTTAAAAAATTTTTTAATGATATATCTGTCCAATAGATAGTAGACTAAATTTGTTGTAATATAGTTTGTATTTTAATATTAATAATATAACTAGTTAAAACTTTACTATATTAATAAAACTAATAAGTAATGCTTTAATTTAATATTAAAAAAAAATAATAAAATTTTAAAATAATTTATTAAAAAATTTTCAAAATAAACTTTAGATAATAAATTTTTATAAACTTTTATTTAATAAATTTTAAAGAATAATTTATTAATAACTATAAATTTAATTAATATTTTTAAAACTTAAATAATATAAATTTTCAATTAATAATAATTATTAATTATAATATTTTAATTATAAAAAAAAATTCTTAATAATTATATAAATAATAAACAATAATTAATTAATAAAGGCCTATTTTTTTTAAAAAAAAAATTATTTTAATTTGCTATTGAATACAAAAGACTTAACTAATTTCTTATAAAAAGCAAATACTTTGGAAAAAATAAAAGTTTATTAGAATAATCTTTTGCTTTACTAAATAAAATCAATATAAGTAATTTTTAAATTTAAGAAAATCTTTTTATTTATCTTTATATATTACTGTTTAATATACTATTTAAATATTATATACAGTATAATAATTAAATAATTATTTCAAATAATACAATATTTTTAAAAAAATTTCTGATTATATTTATTTTAATAAAAATTTTCTTTTTATGATAATTTTTATTAAAAAAAAATTTTACTTTTTTTATCACAAATAAGCATCAGCTCAAGAACTCAAAAACCTTTAAGATAACAGGTACAGTAAAATAAAACTTCTAATAAAAGTCTATTCAAGTTTGAAGTCTTGTTTATTATTTGATTTTATAAAGAAAGATTTATGGAAATTTTTTTTCTTTTGTTTTTTTATATTTCTTCTTATTATTATCATATTATAAACTATTTATATTAATATTATCATATTTGCTAAACTAAACACTTCTTTAAAAACACACTTAAACAATATTATTGAATCTAATATTTGTTTTAAATCAACCTTTATATACAGTATAATAATACTGTAGTAATATTTATTATACTATCTCAAATTTTTTAAAATTTTTTATCCAAAAAACCAAAATCAGTTTACCTCTACAGATAATTATCACTTTCAAATCATTTAATCAGATTTCATCAAAATATTAAAATAAAAATTGAACCTGCTTAAATTAATTTTCAATACAACAATAATAATAACAATAATATTAAACAATATCAACTATATTATAATTTCTTTGTTACCAAAACATATAATAACAATTGAAAAACTTAGTAAACTTTGATTTTTCTTATAGTTAAACAAGAGACACCTTTAGAAATATATCCTTTATTATTACAAATCTTATTTTTACAACACCTTATAGTGAAATACAGTATATTGGTACAAAGTATAAGCATAGCCAAAAATGAGTATTCCTACTGTTGTGGGTCAGGGATCTATCAGCAGTAATGGCGAAATCCTAGACTTCGCGACATTTTGACAGGGGTATCTGTTATAACAGGGGGGATTAAAGGCAGAAAGAGGCGTAGATTTGGTGAGTTTGTGTGATTTGGGGGATTTTATTGGTCAGAACAGTGCGATAAGTAGGTCGATTTTAATACTCTTTTATTGACTAATTTTTCCACTCCTCCTTTTCTACTATATTTCCTTATATCGTTTTTATACTTTTTCTTACGGCAAAAGAAAATAAAAGAAATAAAAGAAATAAAAGAAATAACGAGGTTGAGGGTCAATTACCCATTTTGGCAACCTCTATAATGCGCGATCATCATTTTCTCAATTTCTAAGCCATATCATCGATTGTCGTTTCCCCGTAACACTACTATATATATAGATCCATATGCCGAGGTTGTTATAATTTGTAGTGCACTCTATTATAATATTCCTGGGTTTTATTCGAATGTAAAAGCTTTACAAAAGACATGTAAAAAAGAATATGATCATTTCCGATCCAAAGATATAACAAAGTGGTTAGAGAAACAGTATGATTATCAAATATATCGTCATCCACCAAAAATTATGACGTAATATTCCATGAATTTCTATATTTTTTCCGATTTGATGGTGTCATCTTACATCTGAAATAGATATATAAACGGTTTTCCCACACTCAATATAGTTTTTACCTCGCATTTCCTTTCCTTGTAAGACGACGAAGCACGATATAAACAATGTTTTTTTCACGCCTTCCTACACCCGATATGGTTTTTTTCCTTGCCTTTCTTTGTAAGGCGATGAAGTATGATATAAAAATGTCTGTACTAACTACTTTCTTTGCTTTATTTTTTCCTATAAATATGAACGCCACTAACCTTTGTAACTTTTTAATCAACACCACCAAAGAGCATATTACCGCCGGTTCTGTTATTTATCAAGTAATAGAAGACCTTTGGACACCACAGAACGAGTTGAAAAGTATCATCGATCAAGCAGTAAAATTAATAAAAAAATCTTTGTGAAAAAGGTTCTCCTCGGTATATAACTCTTCTCGAAATTTTTTCAGAGGTAAGATGATAACTTTTTAAATGAATAATGTATTTTTTGTCGATGTCCCAAATGATGAGTAATGCAGGTAGTAATCACCGAAAAAACAGTTCGAGTACTTCATAGTCCGCCTACAGAATAGCTTCCTCGACTGCGTGAGTTAGTCCGCCTACAGGATAGTTTTCTCGACTGCGTGAGAAGTATTTGAGCTGTAGACCTATATGTGGTTATTTACTATTACACAAGGTTTTATCTGCGTGGTGGCCACACAAAGATAGAGCTTTGTCTATATTCTGATGGCGGTCTTATTCTATCTGACGAGATAGTTAAGAATGAATTTTATATACTGCATATATTAATAATTTATTGTATACTTGCATTAGTACGACATTTCCTATAAAACTACAGTATATGTAGTTTACGTGATCTCGGCGCGGTTAAGATCAATAAGGAAACACCAACAATATAAAAGTATTGAAAGGAAAACTCAAGAAATCACGACGCCACTTTATCAACATTTGTTTTCTGGTGTACATAATATATCTACAGAAGAATTGCCTTGGAAGAGGCCTTTAGCAAGTCAAGTTATCAGTGACGATTCCAATATAATTAAATAACTCCCGAAACATTTGTATCGTTCTTTTATGAAACCAGCATATCGGATGACGTCATCAACCTTTCCGAAAATTATACAACAGATTTGTCACAAAAATTATCACATGACAATACTTGGAAAGAATCTGACGATAGACTTGCGATTATTGCAGAAAGGATTTTGAATACTTTGTAAGTATATATAAAGAGTTATTCTCATTCATTTATTTCATTCATAATCAATAACATATGTGAAAAGGCGGGATAGTTAATTATAAATCTTTATTATAGAAATGACATTTGGAACAATCAAGCATTTGGGTCTGAGTTTGCCAATTCATTAAATGAAGGCACTTACGTTTCGAACGTGATTCTACCTGTCATCCGAGCAACATTGCAAGATCTTCCTTTCGGTAAATCTACATTTATCAGCAATTTCGAAAAACAAAGTGATGCCAGTGCTGATCAGAAACGAAGTGGCCAAAGACCAGATGTTATGTTTGTCATGAAACACAGAGAAAGAAATTATGAGCTTTTATACATTGAATGTTCACGTCTAATTTGTACGAAACAAAAAGAACAAGATGATGAAATAAAGCTTTGGCGAGAGGCTAACGATAGGATGTATTATGTACGTAAGAGATGTAAGCCCGACAAAGATGAATTTGGTATTGTGGGGGTTCAGGTTGCTGGTTAAACAATGCGGTTAAATGTTTTAATAAGAGATAATACAGATATTCACAGATACTATCATCTCTTTGAAGCCAAGGTGCCCATACAACGGTCAGATTCTGCCATCGTAACAAAATTTGTTGAACTTCTATTAGTATTACGTAATATTTTGATTGTAAACATAAGTCTACTATATAATGCTCCTTTATCTAGACCAGCTCGATTATTAGAAAAGAGCTCAACAGTCACATCTCCACGAAGTTAGCCTCACTAGTATCGTTAATAATTTTTTGTAACGTAAAGTAATTCAGTCATACAATACAAGAGACTAGTTACACGAGCATTTCACATG